CACGTGCGGGCACGTTACTTTAGGGAGAAACATCGCCGTGATGAATTGTCGCGGTACCCGGTGCGAACAAGAGATGTAAAGTTACGGAAAACTCGGGCTTTTGGGAGAAAACACACGCGCGCGTGCGCGATGCGTCCCTCGACGTTTCCTGTCTCGATGCGACCTCATCTCACGGCGTTACGGCGTTTCCTTTGTGTGCATTAAAGTGCAAGTGTATGTAGAGAGAACGAGGAAGAGAGAGAGGGAAAGACAGGTGGAAGAGGACAGTGCGAGAGCGCGCAAGAGAAAGAGAAAGAGAGAGGGAGAGAGCCGGTTCGAGAGGATGCAGAAGAGCATACGGAGGAAACGGGTAAACGGGGACGCGGTGGTAAAGGAGAGAAGGAATGCGGCGCGGTCACAACATCAAAGTGAAACGAGATGGTGAGTCGTCTGGCTGCAGCCGAGCGCGCATGCTGAATGTAACGGAGGCTGCGAGGAACGGCGAGAACGGCTTATGGTCCACGGTTACTGCCCGAGTCCACGAGAGCACGAACGAAAGGATCTAGCCTAATGTTCCGGAATTCGTCGCTATATATTAACGGTGTCCTTACCGACGTTTGCACTATGCGAAGCGTGGACGTATACCGAAGTCTCAATGGGTTTCTCCATTTGCGACTCTCTTTTTTTTTTAATGCTCCGCCATTCACGCGAACGATCACTTGCCGCGGTTATTATTTGTCCTTCGTCTTTCCCTCGAGTATTATTTGACCTGCGGGAGATGCTTCCCTATTATAGCTTTATGGTTTCTTTTTGAAAGGGGGATCGAAGGAAGTTTTCAATGCTTAGGAGTATATAGCTATCCTCGGATAGTACTTGCGTCAGATTTGTCGACTGCGCTTCGTGAGTTACTGTAAAAACTCCGTTTCACAGCTTTTCCGATAGACTGACTCCTGACAATTTTTCATTCGATTTTCCACGACGTTCCGCGCGAATGTGCCGCAGAAATTACGTCACAGAAAGTAGAAGCAAACAGGAAGAAGTGACTCGGCGAATGAAGAAATAGACACGCACTTTTGTCGTGTGCGTAATACGAGTTATTTATCTTAATTCAGCTCTTCCGTTTTCAATATGAGAACGATACGATGCGGTTCGTATCAAGTTAACGTCTACATTCGCGACTGAAAGATGGCTTTGTATAGCACTCCGTTTTACCTCGCATACTTTGATAAGAGTACGTGATACAAGGCAGGGGTGGCCGGGTAGCGTAGCAACAGCTATTTTAAATTCACGTCGAAAATATGCGGCGAACTGCACATTACAAATTTGCACAAGTTTCGTGTTCGTGCTGCAAAATGCTTTCTGATTCTTACCAATAAAATTAAATCACAGTGTTGGTCGAGTAGAATATAATTTCTATCCCAAAGCGCCACAAATCAACGGGGAATTCTCATTGTCTTTGTTTGAGCTCGTAGAAATTATAATTAACAAAAAGATTGAATACAGTCCAAACATTCATCGTGATACGAAAAGAGAAAACGGATCATCGCGTAAACAATATAGAGATAAGAGATCGCCCGTCTAGTTTGAATTAAATAAAACGTTGCTACGAAGCAATAGGTTGATTTAATTCAAACTAGATAGGCGATCTCTTATCTCTATGTATTGTTCACGATGATCCTTTTCTCTTTTCGTGCCATGATGAATAATGTTTGGACCATATTTGAATCTTTTCATTAATTATAATTTCTACGAGCTCAAACAAGAACAAGGAGAATTTCCCGTCGATTTTGGGCGCTCTGGGGTGTAAATTAAATTCCATCGCCGCGTTCCGGCACGCTTAATTGCGTCATTTTCCGCAAAGCGCAACTGCACTTTGCTTAATCAAATTCCGTGCCGAGAAATCGATGAGCTACGAAATGATCTCATGACACGCGGTGCTCCTCTTCGACCGTCGAATTGTCGAACGAGAGGCGAAGAGCCACGAGCGCGACACGCAGAAAAATATACCGGGCGACTCGATCGCAGCTCGATTGAATTTAATTAAGTTGAATTAAGAGATGATTAATGGAGTCGAGCGTTGTGGATGCGAGGATCAATCGGTTTCCGCGAGAGCACCACGAATTTCGTTTCTAAGAGAAGCCGAGAGCCGCTCTTCACGAGAGACAATACGGATTGATTTAAAAAAGAAAGACGATAATATATCGGGTATCGTAGAGATCTGATCGTGGGTGCTTCTTCGTTCCTCGATACGGGAGACGAGAAACAACGCAACATTCCAAGCAGAAAGAGCGGACACTCACCTCCGCTACGATCACGGGTGTTGCTTCGACGAACGGTCTCACGGCATCCAGCATCCTCCGTTCTCTCTCGTTCGCCGGACTATCCTCTCCGTCTTCGTCCCTCTCTCCTTCCTTCTCTCTCTCTCTCTCTCGTTCCAAGTACGTAATTGGAAACGGCGAGCTGCGAGAAAGACGACGGTACTAAGTTTAAAGCCACAGAAGGGCACTGTTCTGGTGGGCATGTGAATACGCGGCTACTTTAGCTAACAATTCTCGCAAATTATACTCGAATCTCCAAATGTACGAGTATGGGAGAAAAAGACAATCGCGAAATAGAGTTCAGAAATTGAGGAAGTTACGTAATGGCTGAAGGAAAAAAAAAATTCTTCGTTTATGAAATAATAGAGATTTTTTTATCGCGCCGCATATATAATGCAAGAGAAGATTACGCAGTAAGATGTTGAAAATCGGACGGCTAGCTCTCTCTCTCCCTCTCTCCCAGCGGAGTAAAATACATATAATATTTTCAGTTGTAATTTTCACACCCCGCCCGTTGCCACAAACTACGTACTTTCCAACTTCGCCAGATTTACGTTTATCTTCAGAATAATCTGAATGAACTGCGACAGAAGCTCTTAATGAAATTTAAGATACGTATAAAATAGCCGAAAATTCGTACGAAATCTTATCTTATTGAAAAATTGTAAAAAAGGAGAGAAACGTGATTGGAAATTAACGAATTAATTTAAAGAATTCTTATTAGATCTCACATACTTATTAAATCTCACCGATTTTGTTATTTCGTTTAACACTTATAATTCTTCACCTTAGAGGTATCTTATTAAAAATTTAGAGAAAACAAGATTTAAAGTTTTAAATAGTGAGAATGATTTTTTTTTAGGTATAAAGTAAAAGTAGCAATTTGATTAATCGAGTCTTCAATGATGTAACCTAACTGGCATAGTTAACAGTACAACTGTCAATAACGCTATACCTGAAAAAAAAATGGAGATACAATTCTTTACCTCTAAAGGTATACAGAATTAATGTCATCCATGCATGATTACGTGCGTGCTCCTAAATTTGTTCGTGCTTCACGACGCATTCCAACGATTTCGATCGCTCGATGACTAAGGATTACATTTACATGATTCTTTCTCTCCCCCCCCCCCCTCCACAACGTCTCTCTCGGAGGAGCGTTCTTGGAGACGGGTCTTTTTTTCGGTCGGTACGTGACAGGAATGCGGGAATACGCCTACAACCGAAATATCTACCTGCCTGCGCGACGACTCGCTTCGCTCGGGTGTGACTTGTGAGTCACACGATCCCACATCGCGCGCGCTTCCTTCACGCCGTCCTGACACCTCGCTACGCGCCTCAGCTCCGCGTCGCGATTACGCGCGTCGTTTCTCTCGCGGCGGCGCGGCGTAAACAATGCCGCCGTAATTACACGCGTATACCTCCGCGTTATCAGATGTACACTGTTAAATTCCTAGTGTCAAATTACTCAATTTGAGTAATTTTTAAATACTTCTATAGGTCGCCACTGCTCCCACTCCATATGTCGTTAATTTAAACAATGAAGTTAAAATAATTCTAATTTTGTGTTAAAATAATACATCTCGACGCGCATGGTAGTTAAAAAAATAACAAAATGTTATTTAACTCGAGGTACTGAATTCAATTTCATCCTTTAAATATTTAACAGGGTAAATCGTCGTCCGCGACACACCAAAAAAGGAAAAACCTCTCGCAAATGAAATCACATGTACCCTCGTTAACCCGCGTTGTTTTTTTATAAAATTGTTCGCCTCGTTTCAGGCGCGGAGGGAAAAAAAATATTTGGGGCAGTGAGCTCAATATATCCGTCTCGGAAAGGATCGATCGGTTCGCGATTGTGAAACTCACCGTCCTCGATCCGAGAAGCGCGACGGAGGGACGAGGGTTGCCCGAGGTAGGAGGCAGGAGCAGCTCCAAACGACGTCCTTACCGATAGATTATGATCCACCACTATCCACTCTCACTGCACTTAATTTTAATTTTTACACCCGACGGCGCCTTCGCAATCCTTTCTTCGCGCACCGAACTATCTCCGCGGACGTCTAAAGTCACCGACTTTTGTCACAGCGAGCGCCAACTCTCAGTTTTTCTCCGCAGCTTCCTTTCGAGAAAATCGCGCCAACCGACAGCGACAACACATCTCCCTCGCGTCACTCGGGAAGTTTCGGTCTCGCGATCTCTCGCGGAGTTTCTCCGCCGGGATTCGGAAGAAAACGTCCCGTCTCGCTAGCGCGATCGCGAAAACGAGCGATCGATCTCGGGCAATCGACAACAGCTAACAGCGGATATTTTCTACGACGATATATCCGGGAGAGCGACGCGAACGTCGCCTCATATTCCGCCGCCGTCGCCGCCGAGTTCCGAGAATCGTTCTGCCGATCGTGGATCGGAGTATCGGAGTCAGCACTGTCGGTGGTCGAGTCCGTCGAGTAGCGATCTCGGTGTAACAACACACAAGCACAGCCGACGATGACGCGTCGCGTCGACGCGAAGGAAACTCTCACCGATCGTCCGCCGGGCGCCGAGCGTACCTGGCCCACCTGGCGACGCGACGCGACGCGCGTTTCTCTCCGCCGCGCCTCGCGCGTTTCCGTCGCGCGTTTTCCGCCGCCGCGCCGATTGCCGCAACACCTGAACGCGTGCGTGCGCGCGCGCGCGCCCCGCGAGAGCACACGTACCACCGCGTAAGAACGAAACCGTCACGACACTGGATGGGAACGGGCAACAGGTTCGTCGGCTTGCCCCCGAGCCCCGAGGAACGCGGCGCAGGTAAAGAGGTAAAAGGGGCGGAGGGGCGGGCCAGCCAGGCGAGCCAGGTAAGCCGCCATTGCTCCTGACGCAGCATCCGACCTGGCAGTGGCGTAATTAACGGGGCCCGTGGGGGCCCCGGCCCCCCGTTCGTATCTCGCCGCTCGCGCTCGCGCTCGCGAGGAACGGGACTCTAACGACTTTTTTTACACGGGCAATATCTTAAAAGCCGCATTAGCGCCATCAATAAAACGGTCTTTCCGCGAGATTAATTACACAGTTTTTTCTCAGATTACGTAGAGATTATTTAGAATTCCCTCTTTGTTGTAATTTATAATGATTAAAATTTCACATTGAACGGCAAATCCTGTCCACCTATCACTGATTTCGACGACTCCTACCGGCGATCTCTTCCGGGACTTTTAAAGTTAGAAAGAATTTAATTTCTTATTTAGCTACGTTCTATCCAATTTAAATTCCATAGCAATTAAACACAGAAAGAAGAGGGTTGGAAAATTGAAAAAACTTTGCGACGAACATCCTTCGTCTTTACTTTGTCAATAATATTAGAATTTAAACCAAACAAAAAAACGAAATGTACATGTCCCTGAAGATGAATGTTCCAATACTTTTAATGGGATCGTAAAGGATGACTTGAAATTTCCCTGGGAGAGAGAGCTCTCTCTATATATCTACTTCTCGTTAGTTCCAAGATCCGCGCGCCTAATCCCGCACGTCGCGTCGGCGTAATCAGTCGCATTGTTTGACGTAGCGCCTCCGATAGGAGGTGCCGGTTACGTCACTGCGGCAACAGGTTGTTGCCAATGGGAGCTGCCATGAATGAGCGAGCGAGCGAGCGAGCTCGTTTCGTGGCAGCGCGGCCTGGCCCCTGGCATTAGGCAGAACCGAATGCGATCTTTCGTTGCTGGACGCCATTCGTAATTCGTCCCGTGTCGCTCGATAAATACGCAAAATCGCGTTCGAGTTACCCCCATTCGCTCTCTTCGTATTCCATCTGCATTCTACATCTATATTCTATCTTACAGGTATTCCGATATCACTCTTCCCTTCTCGGTGGGTGGCTCATCGACAACGATGGAACGCCATGCAGATGGATTCTCACGGTCCACGACGTGTGCGAAAGACTCCCATCCGGAAGAGCCGAGTCATTATCAAGGATATCGACAGATATCAAGAATATCGCATCAGTCAAAAGGATCTCATCGGAAAGAACTCGCAACTGATTAAAAAAAAAGACTAAATTATTCGCGTTTGCTTCAAGAGAAACCAGAGATAAATAGAGATAACGCGGAATTGTATTTTTATAATCGTTTTGTGAGAAAAAAAGTATAATGTATCTGTAATATATTTCGGTTTCTCAGAATTCAAAATCTTATTTCTTCCTATTTTTTTTTAATATACCAGCACTCATTTCCAAAATTTCATTTCTCTAAGGAGAGAATATTCGTAATTCGCATCTACGCCTTTCTCGCAGGAATTCGTAACGTTTTTGTCGCGGTTTTTTTTCGCGCGGGCGAGAAAAATGGATTTGCAGCCGGAGGAGATGAGAACGAGGAGAACAGGTAGAGCGTATCGAAGGAACGCGAGAGACAAGAGCCAGCTGATAGCGTACGTAATTGCCGTCCGCATCGCGCTCCGAAACCATGACGGAGAATTGAGAAATGCGAGGATCGCGCGCGAGGAGCCGAACCGGCGTTCGCTCCTGTCGCGCACGACAATGGAATATAAGCAAGAAATAGCGAGCGAGACGTCGTTCTCCTCGCGGCTCGTTCCTTCGACGACGAACGTAAATCGTAACGAGAGTTCGTTGCCTCGAAGAAAATGATTTGCGGTATCGGCCGGCATTCCGCTCCGAAAGCGACAGCGTTACTCCAAGTCGACCGTCACGCTTATTTAAAGACAATAACGAATATATTACGCCGAGTATCTTTATTCGTAGAAGATTAACCGGTTCTTTCTCGAATCTATTGGGTGACGATTTATCGATATCGAAATAGAGATTAATTGTATAAATTTGATCAACTCTCGGGTTTTCGATGCTTTTGATGAACGCGCGAAGTGAGAGTTTTAACGGTACGCCGCTGAAATTCGTGAGATTTCGCGATCAGCTTTCCCAGAGGTGGGCGATCTCGAGATGTTCACATGCCGTCATTTAATCTACGCGAAATCTCTGCTTTGTCGTCGTGCAAATAGACAACATCCAGCACTGTTTGAGACGACGGCTCGTCGTAAAGAAGTACACGAGGAAACATACACTAGTATCTGTATCGTTTTAATGATAGATATACGCTTATGTCCATTTCCATCAATGCAAATTAACTTTAATCTCGGTTTAACTTACTTTTTATCTTTTTCTAATTCTTAGAACTAGAAAGAGATGATAAATAAGTTCTTCTAATTAAAAAAAAAAAACTAGAAAAAGATAAAAGTAAGTTAAACCGGGATTAAAAGTTAATCTGCATTGATAGAAATGAACATTACAAACATAAAATTGATTCTTTTTCAGGAGGGTGTTTCACCTCCTTGATGTGCTTTAACTTTTAAACGAAATAACACCCACACACCCCTGTTATTTTCATACTCTATAGATGGACGTACACATAAACATTTTCTCATGAACTATAGGCCGATAAACTCGGATTCTCCATTTTTCAAGTTTTTTTTAACCACACAGTTTCGTAATGCCTATATGGATGGACGCTATTCGGCTATACCTATACATGTTTAGTTCTGCCAACCAAACGACATTGTCGAACATTCGTCGCATTCGACAACAGTCGTGTTTCCCTGTTGTGTCAACTTCAATATTCTAGATGGAGTTAGACATAAACACTTTCTCATGTATAAAAATAATCACAATCGGTTATAAAGTTATAATAAGGGACAGAATATTTATTTTTTTGCAGATTATTTTATTTCTTATTTTATATATTTAAGTAAACATTTTGTATCAATCATTTCTAATTTTTGGAAGGTGGGTCTTGGCAATACCAGCTTGTCCCACCAATAAATTGAAACAAACATAATTTGTCACTAGGCGAAAGTGAATTGGCCGGTTGCATGGAGAACTCGGATTCTCCACTTGTCGGGTTTTTTCTTAATCACGCCATTTCGTGGTGCCTGTGGATGGAGAGACACTTTGTTGTCTCTAAATATATAACAGTTTCTTTACATACGATAAATATGAGCTAATTTATATGTTTATGAAAAATGCTTTCAGTATTTTATTTTTATTAACAATTTTGAAGAAATAATTGTAAAAATTATTAGATCAGAAGGAACTAAAAGGATTATAAGATCTTTTAATAAACATACGCAATGAATATTTATGAATCTAATATCGTCCGTAGAAGTAAATACACTATTACACGAGATGTACGCGTATTATGTATCCGGTTTGTGCGACCTAGAGCTCGTCAACAATCTGATGATGCTCGCGCGTATTTTCTTTATTATTAAGATAAAAAACACAGCGATTTGACACGAGATGTATATATGTACCTTCAGTTTTGCAAATTAAATTCGTAGAAAATTATTCGAAGCTGAGAAGCGGTAATCGATGGTCGATGGACTGGCCGGCCGGGTCCATCCGCGTCGTGCGGACTCGTATGTCGGCATTCCGCCGTGAGATGGGAGCAGCATACGCGCGAGCTGTTCCTCTTATTATTATTATTATTATTCTTTCCTCTCGCGATGTCGCGATCCGTGACAGCTGTCAAAGATGCGTACATCGCGCACGCCTGTCGCGGTCTCGTCTCCCTCGTTTCGCGGCAACGTAGGTTACGTCGGTGATAAGCGGCGCGGAGGCGGTGTGCGCGCGTACATAATCGCGATGTCTCGCGCGGCGCGCGGGAATCGCGGAGTCTGTCTCTGAATGCGCCGCGCTGCGCTGTTCCACACGATATACGACATACGACGGCACAGCCCGACGATTACCAGGATAACCTCCTGGTCCCCGCGTTCGTCCGCGGCCGCAGGCGACCTTTGCCACGTATAAGTCGAAAAATCGCTCGTCATGGCGTGTCTGCTGTTGAATCAGGAGAACGTCCACCTGAAAATACCGTCGGTCGAGACGGTGGACGGGGTCACGTACTACTGCATCGAGGTTGGAATCGCGTCGATCAAATGGACCGTCAAACACAGGTAGACTTTGACACTCGTCGCTCGTTCTCGTATCCAACGACGAAATTTTGCGCCTCATTGAGTGTGCACAAACTGCACAATACACGTGCGTGTGCATGTGTGCAAAAGCTTAAGATTTTATATATATTTTTTTATATAGTTGATTATAAAATGTATATGTAGTAGTTAATTAAAGTTAATTATTTACTGGCGAAGCAATTTCTGATTTTTGTTAAAGTTGATTAAGATAAAATAAAGCGCAAAATTTACATGTGCAAAGTAAGAAAAATCAAAGGAAAAGAAAAAAATTTGTGACTTCTCTTTTGTATTAAAGGTACAGCTCATTTGCGGCGTTACACGAGAACTTTGTCTCCAAGTACTGCGTCGAGAAGGACATTTTACCGCCGAAGAAGCTGATAGGCAACAAGTGTGAGGTTTTCGTGGAGAAGCGTAGACAGAGTCTCGAGGCCTATCTCAATACGGTTTATAATTACTTGAAGAAGGCAATGCCCAGGGAATTGGCCCTATTCTTGGATCTCCACGAGTACGATATATATTTCCTGGTGCAGAGCATGGCGTTGGAATTTTTTGTAACGGGCGACACTTTGCTGCATGCTTCGACAAGCTACAAGTTCAATCCCGTACAGGTAATTGAGATAGCTTAGCTCTTGATCGATGAAGATTTGTGTTACGAAGACACTAACGTCTGTCCTTTTACTTTCAGCTGTACGCAATCAGCGAAAGATTGAAGCAGCCGTGCCCATTGACGGAAGCTGTAGATAAGGAATACGACTTCAGTCACGTTTTAGATTTTAATTCGCGCTTAACCAGCCTCACGATCGAAGGAAGCTCGGAGCCTTACAAAACCAGCAACATATATCCGTCCGCCTTGTCCATCGAGTTATCCACCTTCAAAAATGTGCGGCATCTAACGATCGATCAATATCCGGTTGATAAAATTTACAACATGGGAAATCTTCGGGATACCGTGGTCACACTGAAAGTTACCAATACCAAGCTCAGAAACATCGTGGAGCTGGCCATGTGCGAGGAGGTTCACAAAATTATCGAAAACGCCAACGACTCTCACGTATGGATGAAAGTGACGCACTTAGATCTCAGCGATAATCGCATAGAAGTTATAGACGAGGCGATTAAGCTACTGCCGCACATAGAATGCCTGACGCTGAACAACAATCACTTGTCCGAGATCTCTAACGTGACGTTGTTGCCCAGATTATCTCAATTGTATCTAGCGTCTAATAATTTTACCAGTCTGCCGGACGATCTTCACACGAAACTCGGATATATCGTCTACATCGACCTGTCGCAGAACAAACTCACGTCCCTCGCCAGTTTTTCAAAACTATATTCGTTGGAGGGATTAGACGTGAGCTGTAATCGTATCGAGAAGATCGAGGAGGTGAAACACATCGGTCATCTACCGTGCCTAGAAAACCTGAGGCTAACGGGCAATCCGGTATCGACGATAGTTGACTATAGAGTCAAGGTACTGGAACCGTTTGGTAAGAGGGCCGCCGATATCTGTCTGGATAACGAAAAGCCAAATCAAAAAGAACTTGACACCGTGTCGGTTCATCAAGCGTTGCGTATCGCGAGGGAGGGTAAATCGCCGTCGTTCACCGCGTCCGACGCGCCGCTATTTTCCGCCGAAGTTCCAAGTATATAGAAATTTTAACCGTGGCTTTTTTTATCGCGACAATCGTGTTTTACGTGAAGACCATTTGTTAGATACGAAACAAAAATGTTTTATACGACATGTAGATTTTATCACTGCGAGACTGATTCTTTCTTTTCGGTAAAACCGTAATATGGTTTATAGTCTCGATTTATTGTACATTCGCTGGTTTTATTCATACGATGTAAGTGGATGACGTAAAAACATGCTTTTTACTTCGATCTTGAAAACATACTAAAACGAACAATACATTTTACGAAGTCTTCGTGTTGTAATCTCATGTATAAATCAGAGATGAAACACGTCTTTCTTGCGAGCAAGTAAAAACTCCACACAATCCATGACAAAATTATGTGAACACACGATGTCATCTAATTCGTGAAATAAATTTGTAAATTTTCCACTATTTTATACATATCACGCATAGATTTTTATCGACTGTCTATAACAATGAATTAATCCGCGTATCCATTGTATTTTATATACATATACATATAATTATTTGATCGTTATCGAATTTACTTGATGTTATCGATATATTAGAATTAGTGCTAATAAGTCACAAGTTACATAATATTTATTCCGAAACAATGTCTAAATCCTTTTAAATTTTAAAGAAATAATACAAACAGATAGTGTGTAACAGTTTTATAATAATTTAACGTAAGAGATTCATCTGTGTATAAAAAAATATTTTGTTAATAAAGACAAATAAATTAAGTCTGTGATAATATGTGTATCTTGTTGTCAATTCATCTATGAGCAGAGTATTACTCTTACCTTACATTTGGGGGGGGGGGGGCATAATATTTTTTGTATATTAAATTCTTATGTTTCATCGTCAGGGAGATATAAATTCGTTGTATTATATTTATTATAGATTTTTATTTAAATTTGCATTACCTTTAAATATCATGTTTTGTGTATGTGTGTTGTGTATGTATATGTGTATTTGTTGAGTGTGTGTGTTGTTGCACATGTTTCGAAAATATTAAAATATTCATAAATAATATCAATATAATGATCATATATTCTAAGCATTGTGTTATAGTCTTTTAACGTACACCTAAACTAACACATACATAAGTTAACCGTTACAAACGATCGTTGATTTATGAGTTTCGACTCGTTGGTACGCTAGTGCACAAGTAAGCAATACAGCTCACAGCTTTTCAAAAAAACAAAATGTCAAATTAAAATACACCGTTTCAAAAGGCAATGCTCATTTCTGGAAAAAAAAATTACGCTATTTCTACGAGGGAGGATTGGAAATATCCTGTGTATCAAAGGAATAAAGCTGCTCGTATGAAAAAGGAAAAATATTTTATCAAACTTTATCTGACTTTTCACATTTATAGCCCTTCAGCATTGCTCTACGTTTGATTTCTTTTTTTTTTTTTTAAATCTTTCATGAAAGTCAAAACGCACCAGGCGCACTTGGCGTGGGGTCGCTTTTTCTGCTATTCAGTTTAAATTGGTCAAACTTTGTCGCGCGAATGGATCAACTTCTTTGAGTTACTATAAGGTAATAGTAGAAGGATGTAAGGACTTACGAAGGAAAGATCCAATTTGGGGTAAGTCGTAGGATGGTTGGAACAGGAGGAATTCGTGGCAGAAAATTAGAAATCGACCCTCCGCAACTTCGTCACTGGGTTTACTGGTGTGCGATCGGGATCAACTTCTCGCCCGAGCCAATCGCTGGCAAGGGCGCCTCCACGGTAAGGACGCCGTCCTTGCTCAGGGAAGACTTGATGCTCTCGGGATTGGTTCCCTTCGGCAACAGGAATTCCCGATTGTACTCCCTGTACACTGATTTGCTCTCCGTTTTCTCCTCGTGCTTAGCGTGAACCTGAACAAACGAAAATTGCATTGCGTTAATAAGATAATTGTTACACAATGAACTTTACAATTATCGCTATTCACATTAATCCGATCCATTGGCAAATAAATGCAATCAAATGCGCAAAGGCCTGATGTAATTATTATGTCTAATTATGCTTATCAATTTGAAGAATTATAGAGTGGATTAAACTGCTGGGTTTAACAATTTTTTTTCTTCTACGTGTACATATAATATCATAATAATAGAATATATGTGTATATCAGACAAAGAAAAAAAATTTTTTTTTAATAGAAGTTAATTCCAGACCATGTTGTAATCAATTGCCCTTTTAACGTGGCAGTCTCTGTCGCCTTGAAACTAAAATATATTGTAGCCAGCAGCCAAGTTACGCCGTAATTCCACAGTACGGTGAGTTTATTATTAGCATCAATTAATTACTAATGTATAAATACTGTTAATGGGTATTAATACTTCGTCTGCGATTCCCTTGGAATGTATGCGTTACACGTGCTTACACTGACGTGAATTTACAAGTTCTCGTTAACATTCGCCTCGCGTGCGCCTAAAGCATGTCGCGATTGATTTATCATTACGAATAACGTCGGAGTAACGATCCCGAGAAATGTTTGCTCTCGGTCATGCTATAGGGTTTCTCTCTCCCTTAATTTATCGCGAGCGGCAAAAAGAATTATCGCTTTATCGTGGTCGAATTTTTTACGAACGACAACGAACCAAGATACACACTTGATAAGTGTCCTTCGTGACTCTCTAACGAGCAATTTCCCTGAGCGATCTAGAAATAGGGCAACGAGAGTGCCCCGTAATAGTGACCGTATTACTCATGCGTTCGACCCAGTGAGTCATGCCCGCGCTCCGTTCGACCATGCGTAGGTTTCGTCTCCTTAGTGGACGCGTAAGTTTATAGTATAACGTGTCAGACATCGATCTCGTTTTTCCACCCGCGACTAATACATACGCGTTGGATTACAGATGTAACCGGGATATCCGACTTCACGTGAAACACCACGACATATCCAGCGACAAACTCGTATTTCATAAAAACAATTTTCTCGAATTTTTCGAAATTTATCAAACACTTCTGTCGTTCGAATTCTGACATAATTCTTTACAAAAATACCGAAATTCTAAATTTTAATTTTAATTAAATATATAATAAAATATTAATTATAAAAATAAATATGGATTTTATATAATGATATATTCTTCAAATGGATATATTTTTTTTATTTCGAGATTAAAAAAAGATTATGTACAAATAGTATTGTACGAATAGTACAAACAACCATGTGATTACGGAAACTCATTGAGAACGAGGCGGAAAATAAGACCGGGCCTGTCGCCCGTGAAAGGACGACAGCGTCTCAGCGGCGAAAGTGGGTTATGAAAGTCACGACACAATCTCGGGACGCCCGCGTCTTACGAGAGAGTCATGGAAGTTATAAAGGGGTCGAAACGCAGCAGGGGGGAACACTAAGGACGAAACGAGGAAGATGGCGAGCCATACCCGCCATCGCCTCTACCATCTACATCACGTCGACGCGAATCGATATCTTCAAGCTCATCCTTACGAGTCATCTTTCTTCTCGCTCGACCCCGTTTCTCCGGCGCGAGAACCTGATGCCGTTCTCTATTCCATAAATTTTTGCCGAAAAATATTGAAAAAAGGCGCTCCATATCCACTTCTCTACAATATCCGTCTCGAGTTCCACGTTTCTTAGTAACAAGGGTCTATCGAGCGCTCTTCGTTGACTCAGCGATCAATGAAAATTTGCATTTTATCACGAAGAGGAATCGCTGCTTGTATGCGCGCGTATATTCCTTTGTATGCCCCGCGTCTCGAATTCTTCAAACGTATAACTCGCTCGTGTGAGACGTTAACGTTCGTTGCGATGTTTCTTTTGTCGCAAAGCAGTTCACCTAGATTCTACCAACGAAAAAAAAGCGCCCCGATGAAATATGCATGAGGTATAAGTCGACGTCATCAGGCTCCGGCGCGTATCGCACCACTAAGTTATGCGCCTTCGTCCTTTCAGAGTGTTATCTTTTCAAATTATCACCATTGGATGCAGTTGCTCACTTTGGAATATCTTCATATTTTGATGCATTTAAGACTAGATTTCTGATTAAAGTTCTGGATTGAAGTTGTGCAGGACTTCGATAGCTGCTGCTCGAAGATGTGCAAATATTGCACAATTCCCAGATAGCGTCGCCGTTATATAGGTTTTGCGTTAAATGACTATGTTATGTTAGACGACGTTGTTACATCATGTTAATGGCGAGTTTGATCAGCGACGTATTTAGAAATCGCGGAGTTTGTATGACAGCGAAGCGAGAGCGACTCGCCTTGAAGAGAATATCGGTGGCGAGTATACAGTGTTGACTCACATGATCAAACAACAAGAGTACCTAGCACTAGCTTTTGTAGCGTGTAGACACGAAGTATCCTAGATTCGTCGAGCCATTCTTTTCGACACTTCAGAAAGTCTCCTTGATCTTTAGTATAAAATACCTCAAGATAAAACTTAATTAAATTAGTTGAACTTTTGTCGATCCGTATTTTAGACACTTCAGAAAACCTTAATCTTTAATGTTAAGTATTTCAAGGTACAGCTTAATTAAATTAAATTTTTGTAAAAGCCGTATACGTATTTTTGACACTACAGAAAATCTCTAATTTCTAATAATACTTGTATCTCAAGTTCAATTGATTTCAAACGTAATTAAATTAAATTAATTAAATTCCTGTTAAAGCTAATCGATGCCTTTGTGTTTCAATCAGAAATATAACTTGTATAAAAGAAATATTCGGAATACACGGACAAACGTCACAAGTATGAGCTCGGCGATCACATCTCGTCTGGTTGCTATCAATACCAAATCGCAACGTTTGATTTGTGGGCCTTTTGTCTTTAATCGCGATGATATTTCTTGAAGCGTGTCTTCGATGGCTTTGTCGCGTGCGAGAAAAATGCAGGTGCGAGATATATTGGCCGCACCCATTAGAGCGGCAATAGCATCAAAGGTAGAAGTCGCAAATGGTAGGCGAGGTCTGCCGTGCTAATTGCATTACGTAAGAGTCGCTAATGAGTTAGACTCGTTCGCTTCGATTCGCTTCTCGAACGTCTCTTCCATCGCGTTCGCGTTGTTGAAAAGACCGACCGAATCGACCGTTCGATCTATCTGTCGTCATCCGCGACGATATGCCAACGAACGAAATAAGCGTTACCTTAACCTTGCGCCAGGTAAAAAATTGACTCGATGCAACCCTGTCTATTCATCACATGTCCTTCCTCTCCTACTCTCTGTTTACTGTCCTAAGACTCTAGCGGGTTTCGTATTTGATTTCAAGGCGGGTGTCGCGCTGCCTTGCATATTTTCAGGTATGGATTCCTTGGCACCGCTTCGTGGCCAGTCCGCATAATAAACGGATGTAAAAGTAGCCGAGATAACGCAGGCAGCTGATGTAATTATTTCACTGACCTTTTCGATAGCACTTGTGCTTCTCGCAAAATTTTCTGTATAGCGAATAGAGGGAGAGACTGCGACTCGCCAACTCTCGTTTAATAATTCTCATTGTTAATTTTCTTCATTCCCACAAGAAAATATTTCAATTTGATACTTGATATTTCTATATTTTTTTTATTTACCGAGCGTCTTTTAATCAATTGATTGCCTCTCGAAATATCTCCGACAAATAAGACAATATAAAGATATATCGGTGTCGAGTACCGGGATTTCTTCTCCCAACAGACAAGCCGCGAAATAGATTTTGTGACGTTGGTCATCCGCTAACGCAATTCTCCTGTTGTTACGCTCCTTGGGATATCGATCGTGCCGACCGTAAAAGAACAAAACTATACCGCGGAAAAAGCGCGTGCGAGTAACCCTAGACCTCGCGAGACCGAGAGAAAAAGAAAAAGAGAGCGAAGGAGAAAGAAAATAAAATGGAAAGACGAAAAGGGGAGAGACGCCGAGAACGAACTACGGTAACCCAACTCTTCGCAGGATCTAAGTTTTCGTGACGGATATCGTCTTACGAGAAACGAGCATTACGCAATCCTACCAGCTGTAACCACTAGTCATTGGAGTGACCGATTTGCCAAACTTCTGCACCCCCGATCTGCTCGATGAGCCCGGCAACGAGATCTGGGTTACGGTACGCACGATGATAGTGATCTCAAATATTTTACCGACTTTCGGGCAACTTAAAAATTTAAACGCTTAAATTTTTCGTAACAGGATCATATACAGATTGCACTAAAAGTCAGAGCCCAGAAAATATATCAAAAATAGATAAATTATTTTTTTCTTTATTTTATTTAACCATCTTTGGAACACATAAAAAGAATCTTTATTCTTTCTTTTATTAATTTATGTACAATAGTATCTGGAAAAAATAAAACTTATTGCGACTGGTTTCCGAGATTTAATTTCTGATACACTTTGTACACCGTTATATATCATATTTATATAGTATAATTTCTATAGTATATTTCTATTGTAATATTTCTATAGATATAATTGTATAATTTTGTTCTTTTTGGTTTGTAAAAGAAGAAAGAGGGATTGTATATTAAAATATATCCGCGACATCAATAGTTATCCGTGATAGTTGGTGTTCGAAGTTCGGTGCCGCGATTGTCGAAAATAACGTAAGCTACTGGCAGCTCTGACTCACAAACTAAATATATAACCGTGAATTTCGATGTTGCTACTTCCACCTCTGCTTTTGCGCGAATGAAAACAGACCGGAATCTTTCGTAAGTTGATGATTAAAGCTCCCGGATATTATCAAAACTCGAGACATTTAAATGCTCTTTTACGATGAAAGTGAAAAGGATTATATTCCAGGATCAGATAAAACCTATCAATTACGCGATATGTACCGAGTATCGATTACAATTTTCAGTCACACGGATACTTCGACAAACTCTGTCCTTTCGTCAAATAGAATTTAATTTAACGTATAATCAACCATTTGAATTTAATCATCATTTCTAGCGGTTTTTCAATTATCAACATTAAACACATTCGGGACTTTTTTACAATACGTATCCATCAATTAAATGTCCGAAATACCTGGCACGAATCTGTATGTTACGTGTTATGATAAAAAGAGGAGACGAAAACACACGCTTTCTCGCTGCTTCTGCGATGACGTCAACTACTGGCCGTAAATTCGCGAGATGATCTACTCTACTCCCGTCCCATTCCCGGCCCGGACTACTCGTCCTTCGGAGCATTGTCCTTGGTCGAGCCCTTTAAGGTCCGCTCGCGATGCGTGGCCGACCTGAATTCGCCAGACCCTGACCACGTTACACGACAGGCAGTTTCGAGTTCTCCGTTGCCGTCAGGTTTCCGTTCGGCAAATCCCGTTTATGGAGAAGACTGCTCCCATTCCCTCGAAATTATTTCAGAGAGAAGGACCTCCCTGGTCGCGAAGATAAATTGATCAACGTTTTTTTTTCGAATCGCCGGATTGTACTCAGCAAAAAGAGAGATCGATCGAACGAAAAATTGGGTTGCCACAACGTGGGCGATGGAACTTTCGAGGAATATAACAGATATCGAGGTGGATAAAGAATTTATTCGAGCGTTGATATGCCGATGACCTCGTTCGAGTGAGATAAGATGGCCAGAGGACGAATGGGAGTAGAAACGAATCAAGAATGAGACTACCGCTTCGAATTGACAGGAGGAGTAACAGACAATCCAGGAGATATGTTTTGACAGCCGCACACTTCCCCATCGAGCTACTACGAACTACTTTTGAAGTCGACACTATAACAATAAAAAAAACAATGATAAAAAAATATCTTTTTAAGGAGAAGTCAACTCCCAGTCTAAATAAACTCTAATCGAATGAAAGAGCGCGACTTTTGAAACGTCCAGTACAAGATATGCCCGCTTTATAGCGTCAATCACGATTTTTAAGAGATCGTGAAATGAAATTGAAGGGGTACGCTCGATCGACCGATCACTTATTCGAATAAATCATCAGAACAACACCGTGCCTTGTTCCTCGACGGATCTTACATCATTACGATCTTTCTTTCGTCGCGAAGAATGAGAGGTACGATGGTACAATGACCTCATCATCCGATCTCGTGCATAACGGTAGAACAACTTTTGCAATAGCCGTGCTCAAACGAGAGAGAGAGAGAAAGAGTACCCAATTTCCGCTCTATTATCTCTCTTATTGAAATAGATAATTCTATGATTATATTACGATTAGTCTCATATTGCAAAAAGAAAAGCCGGATATCGTACATCAACGGGAAATGACATTTTTAAATTTTCTCGGGCGAACGGCAGTGATTGCGCTCTTGTCACGCGCGAATTTACTTTCCAACATTAAATTTAACGTCTCGGTGAAAAATAGTGTTATTCCATGTCGCTTCTGCCGAAATATGTTTACGCGACCACGCGTCTCTTGTGTAATTCATAAAGCGTAATCGCATCGTCCCGCATCTCGGGCGTTCGGCTTGTTTGTTCACAATGGCCGAACATTATTCCGGTCCGCCGGTATGACGACTGGCGTGAATTTATTTTCGGCGACGGTTATTTCCGTCCAGGTCGACGCGAGAACGTTAGAGAAGGATCTCGAAGACGTGCGCGTATAGAAATTCTCGCTCCCGATATTTCACTTCCTGCCGCTGGAATTCTAATTTTCACGACGGCACCGCGAACGAGGAGGCGCGTCGCATAAGTTGTTGAATTTATACCGATTGCCGCCTATACCGTTCGAGTGGAATAAAGTTACATTTCGCGACGGAGCCAATCGCGGAGTCAGAACCGCGAAGCGGAATGAGACTGCCCTTCGTACGAATTCGATCGCGTTACTCGATGAGGCCGCCTGGCGGGAAGTGACGTCACGCAATCAATTACAATGCTCTACATAGTTCATCAAGATCCGCAAGTACTGACAAGTATTCCGCATTCCGTCCCTTGCACCGGGTATAATACCTAAATGTTAGTTTCTTGAGAGAAAGAGAGAGAGAGATACTATATCTGTATACTGTCACGACTAAATTTACATTTTTATTTAGCAATAATTGACTCGGGAGATAATGAATTTATGTTTACTCGAATCTTTAGCTTCTTTAGTACGAGAAGATGTTGATTCTCGAATATTTTCCAAGTCAATTATTCCTCGGCGAACATAAACTAGCGAACTGTGTAAATTAATATATCTATATGAAAAACTGATGGAGCGCAATTTGCAAGTAATTAATTTCATTTTATGACAGTACATTGTGCGTGACGAACTTTGTGTCGCGCCAATCCTCGCCAATTGCGCAAAAACTTGAGCCAGATTTGCACCTTGCCAAGTTGTGCAAGAGATCGTTCCGGCGCACATCGCGCGTGATGAGTCAACCGTATAATAATTTCGGGTTGCCAGATAAACTGGGAGAAATCGCGCGTCAATAAATCGAAAGATTTAGGCTCCGAGTAATAGATAGCTATTGTTCGAATAAATCAATTTATACGTCTTAGCCATAGACTTCAGCTACTAAATCTCAAGGGTATTATTGGAAAAAAAAACTTTGAAAGAGAGTAAAATATCTTCGACGCGTCGAATATCTTTCTATAACGTTCACAGTCAACAAATGTACGCTCGGCGAACAAACGCCGATTGGATCGCCGTTAAGTTTTCCAGTTTCGTGGCTAGGCCTGAACTTTAACGATATTTTCACTCACCAATAGCTTGTTGTCCACAGTCTTGACGACGATTTCCTCGGGCGTGTATTGCGAAACGTCAAACCGCAGCTTCAGCATCTTGCTGTCACCCTCGTCCTGGATAAGAGGACTGTTGAGGCCATCCAGCCAGGCATGGTCGTGCTGAGGACTCAGAGAACTGTTCTGAGTGCTCTGTTGCGTGGTGGTGCTGTAATTTAAAAACAAGAGCCTCGATTATCGCCGACGAATGTCACTCGCATGTAAGGTCTAAATGGATAATGAGATGTCAGGCGCACATTGATGTGATGATGAGCGACGTCGGATCCGTAACCGTTAACTTAAGACCTGTTGACTACACTACTGTCGGTGCGATAGTATGAAGCCTTACTTACGGTGATGACGGATGGACAAATTAAATAAGTACACGCAGAGACTGACATTAACATAAAGTCGTGCGTTAACGCTAAAAAGACCAGCATATTTCATGTAACAATTTTCATTATCGTCACACATACACACACTCACAGAAATAGGTAAGGCAAAAAATTGCATAATTTAGTATAAGAAAATCGAGTTATTTTATGGAAATGTTAGTTGACGATTAATTCACACGCATTGCTCTTTCTAGCGTTAACCAAACTGGCATTTTACTCTAACTCTTGCACGCAGCACTATGATCTGTGCAGAACAGTGAGGAACATAAGGTATATGAATCGTAAGAGGGCAATGATATATTCACTGTCCCGAGTGTGAGGTCACAAAACGTGCAAACATTTGTTCGTTCGTTGCGCTCGCTCAGGCGCGATTACAACTGCGTTAACCCTTTGTAGAAAGTGTTGCAACGCTATTAATTTTTTACGTTTAGATTTTCGTTCTTATCTCCCCACACATTTACACGTTAACGTATTAACATAATAAATATATTTAACAATTTATTAACGTTCAAGAAAATAACGCAAATAAATCCTTAATTTTTCGAATTTTCTTTGTATAATCAAATCGAAATCATACAACGATCGAATGTAATACATTCTTGTTCCTAACCAGGTCCGAATTGTTTGAACGTATCTCGAGTTCAAATCGTTAAACAATCTTATTCTTCAAGTTCGTCCTACAAAGGATTAAAGACAAACGAGAAATAAACGATACAGTGCGGGATAAATATTTCGACTGAGAGGTAACGTAAAAGTGCGATCTAATTTACTACTGCTAATTCAAAACGAATCGTCGATCTACTTGGTCCTCCGGCAAGCTTTATAAATTTAGTCGGGGATGCGCGCCCTCGCAACATCTTCCGATCCCATGGTCTGATCGTCCCTACATCGATCGACTCCGTTTTCTCGGGTTTTTCTGTGCGTTTTTCGTTTTCTTTTCGTTTCTCTATAGAGTTGTCACCTTTTGAAGCTGTCGAACGCGGACCGCTTCGGCGGTGCTGCTGAGTCGACCTTGTCCCAACCATCGGTCTTCGAGGTCGTCGACGTGCGGTGCTCGCTGCTGCTCGTGTGATGCCGACTTCATAGTTAGTCACGTGCCAATGCGGAGAGCCATTCGGTAGGCGAGACGGTAGTCGAGCGCAGGGGAAGAGGGGTTTGTTATTATTATATCGGTTAACTCTCATGGTTACTGAGTTCGTCCGTGAGTTTAACGTTAATCCACGCGATTACGTCGTCTTCGCTTCTGTGTTTCTTGGCGGTCGATTAATCTCTCTCCGTCCCGCAGTTTCCCCAAATTGGATTTCACCGGCGATTAACAGTTATTCGTCAGTTGTTCTATTGTAAGATCTTAGATCCCTTTCGAACTTCCTGGTTTCAACCCAACGACAAATAACTCTTGTTCGCTATTTGTTATCTTCATCAACAAGCACAAGTCCTTCCCAACGTAAACCAGTCGAATCTATTTGAGAATCTATTAGAACTAACTTTGTTATAGAAATTCATGACTACTTTCTATCTTTATCGTCGTAACAATGATTGTTTAACCGACGAGTAACTGTTCAGCAATTATTCGCCGTTGATGAAAACCATTCTCGTTCAAATTATGATTTGCCGATATCATTGACCCAATTTTCCGAACGTTAATTTTTGGCGAAGAAATACCGCTTCGAAATATAAAGTCGTACGTTATTTTAATAGATTAATATTAAGCATGATATTAAGAGCGATTATCTACTCCAAGAAACAGTGAGCGAGCGACGTTCCCAGCAAGATTTAATTGAAACTCTGATTTTTTTTTAATCTGCTGCTATTTTTGTACCGTATTTTAATTCTTGCTAATCAAAAATGTGCCACAGTACTCCTTAAAAGTGTTCAAAGTTGAACTGCGAAAAAAATTATCTTACACAAGTTTTATTATTTTTGTCATATTTTCATATCGATAAGACCTCGTATGCTATAAAATTATAAAAATAAAGAAAAATAAATCATATAAATTCATATATATAAATCATAAAAATCAGCGCTAAATTCTTACTGAACAAAAATCTCATCACATATACGTACTAAAAACTATATGACTATAATTGCCTATCTGCAAATCTTAAATATTCACGAATGCTGGCAAATCGCTTCGAAAAAAGGACAGAAAGCGGTAAGACAATCGACACACGTCAAACACGCAGCAAATTAATCGTAAAGGCTATATACAAATTATTTTGTACAACTTAAGAAATTAATAAGCGCACTCGGCAAATACATATGTGTGTACGTGTAATAAAACTTATTCGTTCTATACTCGTGTAAAATAAAAAGAACGTTTCATTTACGATAAAACGAAATTTATCGAACGAGTACCTGCATTTCTTCACGGAGGTCGACGTTACACTTAATTACCGCTGATAATCGATACTAAACTTATTAACGGTCTCCCGAGAGGATTCCGATCGATCGTAAGCGTACTTTTGCGCGCGAGAGATAAGATTTATTTGTAGCTCCGCGCGAAATAACGTGACTTTTGAACTAAATATCACGATAACCGGAAGAGAAGTGTCTTGCCTTGTCTTTGGAGAGGTCGTCGACCCACCACGGAGGATACTATAAATAGTACGTAATTACGTCGTCGCAGCCGGTACTTGCAGCGAGGGTGATCGCGATTTCTCAAGTCACGTTTATTCGGGTTACCTTCCTCGTAGAATTAACTTCGATTTAACCAGTAAAACAATTCTAACTGCATCGCTGTTTTCCAGTCTCATCTATCGTTCCTCGAAGTTTACGCTTCGAAATAAATCTTACAATTAGTGCCTGCACCTTACGTAAGTTAGGAGAATCTATATAGCTGATGTTAACGTCGTAAATAGTCATGGACCGTGCGTTTATAATTTATACAAATCTGAAGAGCTGATTTATCGTGACAAATTTTCGCAAAATTTTTATTAAAAACCCGCGAAAAATTCCTCTGTTACTATAATGTATTTAAAAATATTGTAAATTTTATAAACTTGTAAGTTTTTCTTTTAAGTAGGTTTTTCAGAAAATATTTTGCTCTCTCAGGAGCAAAAATTATATTTTACGAAAGATAATACAGAAATCCCGCAAACAAAAATTAATGTTCGAGAGAAATGAGATTGTGTACGACATTTATAAAGTTTCGCGATGGTCGAATAAATTCTATGACAGGAGTAAAACGATTCCAAGAACGAAATGTCACTGCATCCCGTCACGCGATATCACGTGTTTGGCGATAATAACGACTGTTTTCCACGTTTTATTCTCTTCGTGCGTAAAGGTATCGAACAAAGAGATTGCCATCAATAAATTCCTCTCAGCTCACGCGCGATTTTTCGACAAATCTATTATCGAAAATGCATTATACAGTTTATACTTTTTTTACGGAAATCCGAAATATACATTCCCATCGACTTCTGATTGAATCTAGACTCGTAACATTTAAATGTCACGGGACGTTCGCTTCCCAACGGGAAGCGCGAAGGGGCCGCAAGTAAAGCGCGAAGTAAAACCGCAGGAAAGTTGCGTGGGAAAGAGTGGGAAAGAAATGCGGCAGAGAACAATTACGCCAGACAAGAGAAAGGTCGGATCTCGTCTCATGAAATCGAGAGAGGTCAACCGTAGCGCGGCGGTTCTTACAAAACCAGACTCGTCGGAGTGAAAAGGCCAAACGAGACACGATCACGAAATAGTAAACTCTAATTACAGTCCATCGCCGCGGTAAATCCATTAATTATTTTGCGCGCCGCAGTGACCGTCTTACATTATTTAATCGAATAGATATATCATTAATATAAAATTAATATTTAAGAAATAAAGATAAATTTTGGCATCATTATATTTCTTTATATAGAAAAAGGAGCATATGTTCTCCAAAGAAGTTATAATAAATGTTAACATAAAACAGGAGCGGACTCGTTGTTGATAAGAGTAAGTCGGCGGTATTTATCTAATCTGGTGTTTCTAGCTACGTTTATTACTTGAAATCGTTGATTGGTATAACTTTATTTATCAGTCTCGAAGTATCAGTACATACAATTTCATATTAAAGTACCAAATCGAACACGTTTTTACTGCAGAAATTGTAAAATCATATCTGAGTATTCTTCGTTCTCAAGTGACGTGACAGGACATAACAAAAATGGAATATAAATATTAGATAAAGAAATATTAGGGGACTTTTTTGTTTCCCGATAGGAGACCGAATTCAACAGAAATATTAGCATATATATTACTTTAATATTTATTTTATTGTATTAATATACAAAGTATTCAAAATGTGTAAATGTCAGAAAATGATATATAAATTTCTAATGATAGAATTATAGAAACAATTATTGTTATTTATCATCTTTCAACTTGTTGAACGAATGACAGAGAGCATTTATTATCCGCGTCGCAAATCATATCTAACTAACTGATCTCTATCGAATGAGATAATCAACGCTACAAGTACGTTTCGGCAGAATCATATTTAGCCATTACGCGATGCCAATGGTCGGCTAGAAGTCAATGAATCGCTTAACTCGCAGTCAGTTATACATCACCGGCACATTGTGTAACGGAAAGACCGTAGTTGTACTACGAGACAAAACAGCGCGTGTGTGGGAAAGTGTGCGAGAACGAACGGAAAGTGAATCTCCCTTTGGCACGCATGCATCGCGTTGCTCGAGTCTTCGATCGCGATGCCTGCCGACAGTACGTCAGTTATTCGCGAAAGTTCAAGCATGAAGTTTAGCATAGTTCACCAAAGTCAATTAGCGAGCTATTACCCCGTCTATAAGAGATAATTTCCTGTTGCTGCTCGAATCTTGCACTGTCTGAAGGTCTGACTCGTCTATCCGGAAGCTATACCTGCCGCACGATATCGGATTGATAAAATGTTTATCTCGCGTATCTCCGTATTCTCCGAAGCAAAAAGGTGAAGAAGCACAATGTTGAGAGTTCAATTATTGATTTCCTGTCGAGAAACATATCACAAGTTTCCTATTATAAAATGGAAAATTTATACATGTCGGAAGATATTTACTCTTTCAAGATAATTCGGTGACTTTGCTTTATCGATTCGATGTTAAGCCAGCTGTTTCAACGCTCCCCGTTATTTAACAATACGAAAGATTGCCGACGCGGGATTGAAATAGATTTGTCACGTTTTTAAATAACGCTTCGGAATGCATGATAGAATTATTAATGAAGTTGAAATTCAAGTAGCAATGAAAGACAAAAAGTCAGAATCCCCGAGCAGGTGCATGAAGAGTCGATAACATCATCTTTATCTCTCGCTGTCTATTAAGTAGACAGGCTATACGTTAATAACACGTCCGCGTCAAAGACTCGCCACTCTACGCGATGTGCCATCCGCGCTTGTCTATTTGCGGTAACCGTCCCTGAACACAAGAATTACGTCAGGAGCACGTGATTATTCGGACTTCGTAATGGACCATATTCACCTCCCACGAGTGATCCATCGAGAATGCCGAGATCGACGCCGAGCACCTTACCGCGGCGCATATTTATTAGACACACGCGTCAGAATCTCTTTTATGTCAATGACGCGGCGTTTCTCGAAAAATATCTAGCTATGATTCGTATAGGATCAAAATCTCAAGTCGTGTCACGAAAAGGAAGGTTGACTGTAGTGGGTGACTGTAGATATAATTAAAATCGACGAATTTCGGTAATATAAATTAAGAAACAAATACATCTCTATTTAATCGATAATATAAATCGAAAAATTGTACATCAAAATAATTCAATGAATTGCGAGGCAAAATGATTCTTTGCACGAGCAAGTCGCCGAGTAATGAACCTGTCGAAGCGAATTGATAAAAAAAACTGATGTTAACATAAATGCGTTCGAACGAGAATTCGCACGAGGCAACATACCGCAACTTGATGACCGTTTTATGCGTGGGTGGGTAAAAATCCTCGTCCGGGATCATCGCGGGATCCTTGCCTCGACGGCGAGCGCGAGCCGATACCGTGGCCACGACCGAGCGCTTCTCGCTTTAAAGCGCAAACTGCGACGATGCCTCGACAGCTGCCTCGACGATGTAAAAATTACTGCGTAAAATCCGCTCGTCTAGGATCCCTGCAAGCTCCTCACCTTTCCTGCGCCGCGATTTGGTGCTTGCCTCCAGTGGGGGCCGTTCGCGATCGTGCAACGCGATACAATGTCAAGGCCGCGTTGACGTAATAACGTGATGCACCGTAAAAGTGTGCATCTACGTAAAAAAAAAATATATATATGTATCACAAATATATCAACCTTATATCTCGGGTACTACGTAGAAAAACATTAATTTGCGCCGCCACGTGCGCGACGCAACGATTGCATTATGCATAATGTAGCACATCCATTACGAGAATAATAATGTCAAGAATAAATAATTTCAACAAATGTAATTTCCAACATAAACCAATGTTTCTCAACGAGTACGAACTCGAGAAAAACGAGTACGTTGACCGAGTTTCTTTTGATTGGGCGAAGAATCCTGGAATTAAAACATTGTTCATTCTTCTTCCGTGTTCCCGTCTCGCTTTTTCAAACTGACCGTTTCGAAATGACGACAATGCCGCATTCAGAGGATGCGCCCGCGCGTGTGTATCGCTGTGCCGTCGAAAATGCAGTGAACGCGTCCGTTGTGCGTTCAACGAGACGCGTGCGGTGTAATTGCGTAATAGACATCGCTTGTAATCCCGCGAGCGACACGTACCGGTACACAGTCGCGTTTCCCACATTTTAAATACGTATGCCGGGTTTAGACTGAAGAATGTCCCCGTCATGTGACGAAACACAATTGTTGTTTGCCGCGTAAAACTCGACGGTCTCGATCCCGCTGGACTGCCGGTCTGTGAACGAACGTGACGCAAAACGATCGTGTATGAATGCGACATATTTTTATTGGAAACTATTTTGCCTCGTAAGAAAAGAAACGCTCAATTTTAGGCACGACTTGGCCTTATTTAATTCAGGTAGCAACGCGGCGTTATTTGCAACCAAGTATATGAAATGAGTTCGAGAGTATCTCGCAAATAACGGTGCGGCCTGATTAACGCCACGATCGAACGTCATTGTCGCGATAATTAAGCGCTTTCGACGACGAAAGTTTTACGTACGATAGCTATACGAGCATACATGCAAATTTCCAACGCACGCACTCGCCGGAGATCGTCCGCCTCGATCTCCGCTCGGCCGAGCGGCCGGCTGCCGCCAAAGGGGACTCTCCTGGTGCCCCGCGAGTGCAGTGACGGAATCTCTATAAATAGAAACTGAAATGCGCGAAACGGCTGTATCGATGCAAAAATGCAGAGCCAATCTGCGAATCGTTGCGGCGGCGACCGAATCGCGTGCTCTCCACGGAAAAAATCCACGGCGCGAAATCGCCTCTGCAACTCGTGCTTGCGACGGTCACCAATGGTTTCGTAATAAAGAAAAACTGTATATTTTTACGGAAGCTTATGTTCCAATAAATTTATTATTGGAAATTTATTATTGGATTAGATTTTCCGACGCGGCGTTTCAAAGAAAAGCCGTATATTTGTACGGAAGCTTAAGTAAATTTATTATTCCGTACGTTTTTCGATGTGACATTTAAACGTTACTGAAATTATACTACGTTTACGCGAGCGTTACTTCTGTAGTAACTTACGATAATTTACTCCGCGTAAACGAGTGAATTACCGTAAGTTACTATAGAAGTAACGCTCGCGTAAACGTAGTATTAGTCCGAGATCGGAACATTCCGAGTTTTGACAAGGCAGCGACGACGTAAATTAATTAATCACGCGAATGAGCGGTTTTATGTCGGAGTCTCTTAATGCGACGAGCTACAAGTGAACGTCATCTGTTTTTCCATACCACGCGGATTATCCTTCCACCAAACTTTGTCGGTATATTCTCCAATCCCTCGCGATCGAAGATAATTTATTGTATGTATCTGCGATACTGCACGACGCTCCTTATTTCTAAATTAATCTTGAGTCATCGTTTTGAAATGTTGAATTGCATTTGCACGATAACGCGTACGATCGATCGGTAGATTGCTAAATCTCTATTTAATCGCTCGACTGTCGAGTTGCGAAACGGAACTCGTAGCAACAAAATATTGACGCGACCGACGGTATCTCTATCGCGAAAAAAAACATTTTCTTCCAGACACATCGATACGTAAACTTCCGGCCATTAATAATAATCGTCGGTGATCTTCGATCGCGAGTAATTTCAATGCCGGACCTTGCCGCACCAAGCGAAATAATAAAATTCCTCGTGAAAGAGCATCGGAAATAAAGCGAACGTAAAATCTTGCGAGCATATCGATACGATCGAGCGAAAATAAGAGAAAGAATTCAAGGGTACGAGGATACGAGGGTCACTATCTCGCGCGTCGCAGCTACGACAGATCAAATAAATTAGATTCATTCGTACGTTTTGAAGGATCGATACCTCCAATGTCAACCGTATTACCCGCGACCCACGATAATCCTTATTGATCTTTCTCCGCGCGCCGATGCACGCGTCGTGCACAGTAATTTCCGCTCACGTATAATTCCTCGAACTCGAAGGACGACACAATACAATACCACCGGTGCCGGCGTCGCGCTCGTAAACACCCCGTATATCAAATATCAATCACCGACGTAAGCGAGCGTTCGAACTGTCGGCCAATGGGAAACGAAAGCTTTGCGAACTGTCGATGTATAAAACAACGAATTTACAAATTTACACGTAGGCAGACGCGCGCGAGAGAAACCACGTAGCCGGTGTGGTTCTGAAAGGCTAGGCGTCTCGCGAGAGAGAAAGAGAGAGAGAGAGAAAGAGAGAAAACACACGGGGGTTGACGTACCTGGTGGTGCTCTTGAAGAAGTTGTTGCTCTCGCGGTTCATCAGCTCGCTGCGGAACCGCGACATCTCGTCCTCCATCTTCCTCATCTCGGCGTCGAAACGCTCGCGTATGTTGGAGAACTCGGTGTCGATCACGCTGAAGTCACCGAGTTTGATGGGAATGTTGCGCTTGATACCACTGTCGGCCATGTTTCTCGCCCCGGGCAGCACTCTCTTTTGTACACTGTGTGTATATTATTATGTATCACTTGACGAGGACCCTTCGCGCGCCCGTCGAAGCACGAATTTCGATCGCGAATCTAGGGAAACCGGTGTATACTGGGATATTCGATACTCGCGCGTGTCTCGCAAACCGTGTCTCGTTCCCGTCCAAGGAGTAAGTGAGCGGCGGCGGCTCGCCGGCGGCCCCTTAAATATCCGGCGACGCCGGCGAGGCCGCTCGTGGGTGTTCGGCCGCGCTCGGCCGCGCTCGGCTCGCCTCGCGGTCGGTCGGTTGCTCGGCGCCGGGCGCCGTCCGCGCCGTACACCGTGCGCCGTTTCGCCGTTTCGCGGCGGGCGGGCGTTCGCGAGCCGTTTGACACGCACGATGAAGACCCTAAATTTAATTAGACATTTAATCGCCGAATCCGCGGCAGCGTCGTTAGCGAAAAGCGTCCGTCAGGACGCGAATTGGGGCAGCGTCGCCGCCTACATTCCGCGCGAAAGAGCACGTTTTTTTTTGTCGTTTACCGAATGCCGTTGATTGACGAAAACGAAAGTTCGGCATAATTTCGTTTCCCAAAATTCCCAAGATGGAGGATTGCCCTATCTTTTTAATCGTTTAAAATAACTTTAAAATATTTAATTGATATATTCAGATTAATGTATTAATAAACATTGACATTTCTTTTTGAGAAAAAAAAAAGAAAAGAAAGATGCAGAAAGGCGATTAAATTTTGATACATATACTTTGGATAAATTAGACCGGTTGACGAATTCAAGAGAATCGACTGCCCTCCCACCGAGGAAATCCTCCATTGAGGCCAACGTGTTTTAACTGTCTGGTAGATTGCGGCCGGACTTATTCTCGTGTTAAAACAAATAATACGTCACGCGAAAGCGGGGCCGCGCTCTTAGAATTTGTTCATATAAAGAATCGCGCGTGGGCGAGAGGCGCGATGTCGACGCGAACGGCACAAAACGAATCGTCATTGCCCGCGCAACAGTGCATGACTAATAAACTCGCGCGATCATTTCCTTATAAACGACCCCCGCGAAAGAACAATCTCGTGAATTCCATGTACGCGTCCGTGATAGAATTATCACGGCCGGTACGGGAAAGATGGGAATAAAGTAATCGCAGCTGCAGGGTGCAAAAATATAATATTTTCATTCTATACACATATAGTGGCTACCACAATTCTTCCGAAAAGATTTGCAATATTTAAAACCTTTAAACCTCGTTTTTATACACCGTCGTGGACGAGAACGATTTCACTCGCGTCGGAAAACGTAAGCCGAAGATAAAAGGGCTCGAGATGACGTAAGACGCTTAAGTGCTGGTCTACAACCTTGTTTTAAAGGATATGTTTAAGCTCTAAGTCGTAAGAAATTGTCCAATCACAATGGAATGTGAGGAGAGTACTCGATTGTCAATTTCTTACGGCTTAGAGCTTAAATACCCTTTAAAGCAAGATTGTAGACCACCACCAGCTCTGCCACCACTAACAAGTTGCAACGGCGGATGATATAATTTTTACGGTGCTGATCGTTTAATTAGACGGAATTAAAAGGTCCCGACGAAGTCAATAACTCATCGGAGGATCGACAATACATCGTTTAACGCGGTGATGCATTCACGGAGGCTGCAATGGTCATCAATGAGAATTTTAATTGAAACAAATTAAAACTTTCTTCGCGCGGCGAGTAACAGAGCTAAAATTTTTCGTAGTAAAATCGTCGCCTAGTTTATAAATTGAAGACATTGCTCACATTGCCGCGGTATAATGCCCGATCTACAATAACTGTAGTAAGCTGTAGTAAGCCTCAAACCGTAAGAAATTGACCAATTACAGGCGAATGTGAGGAGAATAATCGACTGTGATTGGTCAATTTCTTACATCTTGAGACTTTATACTACAGCTTACTGCTATTGTAGATCGGGCATAACAGCCATATGTCTGATTATCTTTTTAATTTTTAAACAATATATTGCACAAATTTTAAATGAAATTATGAAACTCGCGCGATCGATGGAAGGCGCGGATTCCCAACGTCAACAAAAGTCGATCAGGAGTTCAGGAGACGACGCATTCTTCCCGCATTGCGTCCGTCGAAAAAATTGGCAATCGCTCCACGACGCGTCATCGAGCCGAGAATGTGGCGGTAAAGGACTGTCGTCACGAGAGAATTCTTTTACGGTATTGAAACCGAGTCCCGCGGTGAGAGTGACGCCGACGCTATTTCGGCGTCTCGCGTCGTCACGAGCCGCGTCGTTCACTCGCGTGTCTGAATGGAACGGCACGTCACTTCTACGCCCCCGTATATTCCTCATACACGACGGCCACGACGCCATTCGACGTATACAGCCTTGCCGTTCGCTCTCGTCACAAGGATACTGTATGCTCGCCTCCGTGAATTAGAGCACCGCCGAAAAGTCTCCTCGTGTCGAACGAATTGGTTGCACGGATTTTTGACGAGGCGACGGAAACTGAGCTTGGAATTGTACGATGAAAAAATGTTAATGACAGAAACCCGACGGAGAATCAAATCTGGACATGTATTATGAAGCTGATCGAGATGGATTTCGATCGGAATAATTATTTCGTTTTTTTAGAAAACATTTAAAAAAACGTGGTTAAAATTTAGAACAAAACGCGGAAAAAACCGCATAAAAAGAGAATTTGATGTAACTAAACAATTCCAGCCGGAATCCATTGCGAAAGGTTCCGTAAAGCCGTGATCGGACTACAGATTGGAATTGAGATTGGATTGAAATTCGACTAATTAAAGCAAAGTTGGTTTTCTTTATTCTGATTGATTAAATTTCAATCCAATCTCAATCCCAATCCGTAGTCTGATCACGGCTTAATGTATGCTCGGAATAAAGAAACAAGCGAGCGAAGAGCCGACCGCGCGAAAGCTCACGTTTACTCTTCTTCATTTTAAATTACTTTATTGCTAATTTAAAAGCTCGTTTCTCGCTCAAATCGAAATTTTATTGAGAGAAGAATTATCGTCTCGGGCAATGCGCTAATATGGGTCCACGTAACACGTAACAATTCGGAAGATACGCGATAACAGCCCATTCATCGAAAACATTCGGCGTACGTTAATTCTGTCTCGCTAAGTATATTATACGTTATCGTCAAATAAATATTGCCGGCGCGACGAGATCGTTGACACGCGGCGCGCAGATGCTCGACTTTCTTTTTTGTTTTCGCGTACGCCGGCATTGTACTACGTCGCGCGCGCGCCCCACCCCCCGCGCGGTGTTTACAAAAACGGTCGCCGCGCTATGCGGCCTATGCGCAGTATGCGCTATCGCCGCTATCACTCACGTCTCGATGCTCGAGCCGACAGGTAGCCGAGTGAGCGGAGCTCCGTGCGTACCGCTATTTGCTATTACGCCTATTACATTGCGGGACGTCCCGCGATAGGTACATATTCACGATGATACCCCAGGCACTAAGAAGATACTGCGTTCTTTATTAACTGTCGGATTATCCCGTTTGTGTGATCGATGCCTGATTCTCGCCATTCGCGACACGCATGAAAGCGTCGAAGCGCTGGTTGTTGCACGGTTTACAGAAATCGAGTGAGATGAATGTAGAATAGAATTAATATACGCCGAATATTTTGTTTCTTGTATTTCGGCGAGTGAACTATTATCGCGCATAAAAGTGAGAAAGATCGGACTAGACTAACGTTCGTCGCGATTTATTTAACGGGCGACGATTGTCTCACGGAGGATACTTGAACGTGTTCCGTGTTATTCGCATTTCTAGAACGCGAATCGTGTGACAATATGCGGCGAATCGTCGGATCATCGTGGGATTAATGTGACTGATTGTGAGTGCGCGAATCGCGTGATTGCGTGATTTCAAATAACGAAACGCAGTAATGTGTCGATCGTTTTCGCATCTCGCCGAATTTACGCGCTCGAGCTGTATCGCAAGCGTGTGTCTCGAGCGTATATCTCTCTCCCAACGGTTCGCTCGTTTTAATTCGGCAGTTGACTTGACTCGCGTCGTAGCCGCGGCGCGGCGTCGCGCGTCGGCACGAAGTTGGCTGCGTTCAGCGGAGAAAGCAGCTCGGTGAATTGTCGCGTTAATGGAAGTGCGCGCCGTGATATGCCGATCGTTTCATCTCGGGAGTGTCCAATAAAGTATCGCGACTGTCGTATTATGACAGTTACTTCGCTCTCGATCGCGAAATATTAGACAGTGGTTCTGTGAGTGTTCTCTGTCCTGTGCAACGGAAGGAGGAGGAGGTCCTGAGGAGGAGGAAGAGGCCTGATAACCCAGACGTTCTGAGAGGAGGAGGAGGCCTGGCAAAGGCATCCGGCCCCGGCGGAGCAACCCTGGGGTAAGTATTATTACTTCTTGTCTTAAAATTTATTGCTCTTTCCTATTTATTTGGGCCATTATCTTCGAAAAATTAGAAATAATTTGAACCATCTAGAATTTTATAAAATTTTATTCTCGTAAAGATTTTTCCCGGAAAATAGATAATTATATTAATAAATTTAATTAAAAGACAATTTAGACGTAAAAATGTAAAAATTATTTTTTGAAACGTTGATCATTTTGAGCGCCTGCTTTAATTTGAATTTTTTATTTTTGTGTTACAGAATCATCGTAGCTACGTGGCTGATAACTCCGCCCGTTGCGCATCGGTCGGTGAGTGACGAATTTTTTTCTTTTTATAATGGGGTAACGAATCTGTGAATATTAGATTGTACATTTATGTATTATTCCCATTTAATATAATGCAAATAAACTTGTCACAGATCCGTTGCCCTGAAATGGATAGACTACAAATCAGACTAGGTTAAATAATTAATCCTGGAACTCTGTCATTTATTAATTTATTGTGCTTACGTGAGAATGCCATGCTCTCGCGTTAGCACACATCGAACTCGTAACAGAGCTCGTTATGTCGGCGCATCATTTATTTGATGCGTCTAATGTTTATCACATAGAACACTAATCGCCAAGTACACACCAAGTCGCCTGAAATTTATAGACGATTTATTAGTTTTTGAAATATATATTTTATTATCAAGTCTCTATATTCGTTATCAATCGTTATCAATTAAATTTATTAAATTAATTACATTTTCAAATTTATTTTTAAAATAATTATCGAGAAATAGACATAGAAAGAGACAAAGAATAAAAATAAAATTTTACAAG